TTCTGTTGAGAAAATTATGACTCGGTGAAATGGAAGGCAAGGTTTGTCTCTAATGACTGAGATTTATATTATGTAATAACAGTGTCTGAAATGAGTTGGCACTTGTCATAGGAAATTTCTTAAATTCTGCTTTTTGCTTCTAAATTAAGAAAATGCAAAAGTAATGGGAATTTTTTGTCTCTAATATTTTTTTTTTTTGGTTTACTATTCGGTGTGCCAAAGGTCGAAAACAAATTCTCTGTGTTCTTAAAGGTAGGAGTAATATCTGTATATATTTTATTCTCCCCAGATCCTACTTATAGAATTTTATTGAGTATGTTGTTGTTACTGGTTTACTATTCGATATCCCAACTAATCAAGACTTGCACCAAGTAAGGTCTATTAAAGAAAAAATGGTCTCCGTAAGAAAATTTCTGAAGTTCAAACTCGAAACCTTTAATTAATACTGAAAAACTAGAGGGGTCATATTCAAACCACAACTTTTGATGACAATAAACCCTCGTGATCCGACCCTTCTTCGGACCCCGTACATAACGGGAGTTTAGTACACCGGACTTCACTTTAGCTACTTTTGATGGCAGTATATTCATCTGATTAGGTTTAATATGGAAGACATTTGATATTTTCATATGTAGATTTACCAAATATAAAAAGGAAAGGAAATTAATGTAAAGGATAACGACATGAATTTTATTTTTTCAGAATGTGGAGAGGAGGTCACTAAGGTCTTTATAATTTGTTCACATGATCTTTCACATGTCTTGATCTGCTGTATAATAATTACAATTTTAATGAACAATTATAAATAACTTAGGAATTAAAGGGAAGTGAAATGGACAGAGTTGTCCAAACGGGCTAGTCCAGCCCAATCCAGCCCAAGCCTCGTGGACTTTTAAATTTGATGGGCTAGGGCTGTTGGCCCTCCATCTATATGGGCTTTAAAATGGCCAGCCCAGCCCTGAGAGGGCCGCGGGCTAGGGCGGGCCGGCCTTTCAATATTTTTTTAAGAAAATATTTCTCCAAATCTTTAGATATTTTTTCGTGACATAATCTCTTAATCATATGAACGACTTTTGTTTATTTAGAGTGTACAAAAATCTTGATATTTGACAAGGAAACTCGTAATTAAAATGTAAATTCTCTATATCTCTAGCTCTTCTTTTTAATATTATATAAATATTTTTTTAGTATTTTTCTTTCACTTTCTTTAGGTTCAGGAATTGCTTCAATAAGTTTATACGTTAAGATTTTTTAATTTAGGTTTAACATTATTTGTTGATTTCATCATTATAGTCCATGAAAATTTTAAAATTCATGAATTTTGCTAGTGTTGTCAATTTTCTTTGGGTATTAAAACTTGACCATTTTCTATGCTGAAGAGCAAAATAATTAATAATATATTAAAGTAACCAAATTGATCATTGGCCAGTTAAAGTAATATTTTGAAACAAAAAATTAATGGCCATTTAAAACTTTCTTAGTTCGTTGTTAATTAAGCAAAAGAAAAACTAATCTCGCCATACTGTATGCATATCAAAAATAGAAATTATAGTTGATATGGTAGGGTAAATGAGCAATCTAAGGTTGGAAAATAGGGATTATAGGTAATAATTTTTTTGATTTTTTACTTTTTTAAGATATTTAAATGTGAATTTATTAATTTTTGGCCCACGGGCCGGCCCAGACCCAGCCTCGATCAAGCCTCAAGGGCCAGCGGGCTGATTTAGGCCGGGCTTATAAGCCTCAATTTTAAATGGGCTAAAAAAATTTAACTCAACCCTACCCAAATTGTGGGCTGGGTTTGGCTGGCCAAGCCCATTTTGACGGCTCTAAAAATGGCTATCACTTATCCCCTAAACTTTTAATTCTGGTTACAATTACATACTAAATTGTAAATTATTGGGTACAAATAATTTTATTTCTATCTATAAATATAACTTAATTTCAAAAAAGGAAAAAAGACAACAAAAATTTGAGATATCTTAGGTGGGCTTTTGGACATAAGAATCGTAAAATTCCAAAAAAGAAAGTGAAAATTTTTTCAAGTGAAAATAATGTTTGAAAATTATAGTTGTGTTTGGATATGAATATAACTTTTGGTTGTTTTTGAATTTTTGTGAGTGATCTCAGTAAAAAATTTGAAAAATAAATTTTTGGAGTTTTTAAAATTTTCAAAAAATTTTAAAATTCATCTTCAATTAAAAATTAGAAATTTTATGGCCAAACATTGATTTCAAAAGAAAATGAAAATTTTTCGAAAAAAAAGTGATAAAATTCTTATGTCCAAACGGACTTTATACTCGGTCTCATTTTTATTTGAAATCATCCAATTGAATGTGTTTTCATTTTTTAGTGGGAGAATCGGCTGCAATGCATAGTCGGTTCAACCAAATTTATGGCCCGTTTGGCCATAAAACTTTTTTCTTTTATTTCGATATTTTTTTTCCAAATCAGTGTTTGATCATAAAAATTTTAATATTCACTTGAAGATGAATTTCATAATTTTTTAAAAATTTAAAAAACTCCATTATTTTTCAAAATTTTCATTTTAGATCACTCATAAAAATTCAAAAACGTCCCAAAATTATATTCATATCCAAATACAACTCTAATTTTCAAATATCATTTTCACTTAAAAAATTTTTACTTTTTCCGAAATTTTATAATTCTTATATCCAAACGCCCACTTAGTACTTTATAAAAAATTATTAAAAGTTTATCACTAAATTTTTTAACAAATATTAAATTCTAAACTTGTCTTTATAAAATTACAATAATTAAAATGTTAACAATTTTAAAATTTTAAATTCTTTGAATTTAAATTTTAAATTTGCTTTCAAAAACTGGAGCAGGAAAGTCAATGAAACATAATATCTTGATTACGGAAATTTCCATGTCATGACACATGTGAATAGATCAAGGTGTTACTTCTAAATTCGGGCACGATCATACTTATAACAGGATCATTGGCTAAAGATGACAAATGATGGAGTTAGGTAGGAGTATTTTTTTTTCCCGTACACACACATTTCTTAGTTGGAAAGTGAGCTCTGGCGTAACTGGTAAAGTTGATGTCATGTAACCAAAAGGTCACGGGTTCAAGCCGTGGAAACAGTCTCTTGCAGAAATGCAAGGTAAGACTGCGTATGATATACCCTTGTTGTCCGGCCCTTCCCCAAACCCCGCGCATAACAGGAGCATAACACACTGGAGTGCCCTTTTACACATTTTTTTAGTTGCAGGTTTGTAACATAGTATTTGCTAATTTTTTTTTTTTTGAGTACTACTAAAAGGATATTATATTGCATACTAAGTAATAGTTACCATATTACAACCCATATTGTCATCAGGGGATATCAGTATCCCTGTTTCTACTGGAGTGTCACCACTAGCAACACTTTGATTTTCTAGAGATTTTAGCAGATTACAGGTAGGAGTCGATAGTTGCTTAACAAAAACTTTTTCATACACAAGTCCTTATCATAGAGATGTTTCACAAAAGTAGGTGGATCAGCAAAAAGTTTAGTTTCTCCTGGCTTGTAGCATTTGTTTTCTTTGTTTTTTGCATCATTGGCTAGAGCATCTGCTACTGCATTCCCTTGTCTGAAGTTATGCCTGAGCAGGAGGCCCTTCTTCTGGCGCATTAACAATCTGCAAGATTGAATAAGAGTAGTTAAGGTTGCATGGCCATTATTGATTGCATTCATTACCTCTGTTGAATCCATATCTATTTCTATAGGAAATAGATCGAACTGTACTGCCAGTAGGAGCCCTTCATGGAGTGCCTGCAATTCCAGATGTAGTGGAAATAGGCCTTTACAGTATTTGTTGAAACTTAGAATCCATTTGCTAGTACTATCTCTAAAAAACCCTCCTATGCCACTATGCTTGGTTGTGAATGCCCCATCGATGTTGAGTTTAAACCAGCTTTTCTGGGGTGCGTGCCAACTAATCTTAATAGGAATTATATCTTTTGAAAGTTGGTGTGCGCTGGTTACGAAGTGAAATTCATTTGAGTGATTAAGGATCCTTTCCAGGGAGGGTTTTTGAATAGTGTTATTGATGTTATTGTTGTTAATATTTAGCCAGATCCCCCCTAGTACAAAGGCTAGAAAGTCATTCCATTCCATATAATTATGAGTTAAGTTTATACTAGGAGTGAGGTCTTTTATTTGCATTAGCCAGTTAGAGTTGTTGGTGGTATTTAGATTGCCAAACCCTAGATTCTGCCAGAGCGTTTATGTTATAGGGCAGCTTATGAATATATGTCTAGGGGATTCATCATCTAGTCGACACACAGTGCATGTTTTGTCAATGTTATCCCCTATATGGTGAAGGTATTGGCGACATGGAATACGGTAGTGGAGACATTGCCATAGAAAATATTTTATTTTGTTAGGGCATTTAAGATTCCAGATCCACTTGAAGTCATGCTGAGGGGTAGAGTTGTTTTCCTTAATGATATTGAAGCAACTTTTACTAGTGAAGAGGCCGTTAGTGTTTAGTTTCCATATTGGAGTTTCACTACCACCTTGTTTCAAAGGCATAGGAATTTGCTCAATGTTAGATTTAACCTCTGAAGGGATGTCAAAAGAAATTTTTGAAAGATCCCATTTCCTAAAGGAGATAATGTCTTTGATTGTTAATGCTGAGTCATTCTTTGTGAGAGGACTTCGATGCAAAGCCTAAGGTTTTTTTTTGAGTATTTGGGATCCAGGACGAGTACTATATGTCTAGGTTAGATTTTGTGCTAGGTTGCCACCTTATTCCTCTGGAACAAAGGGGCCATCCTTTAAGAATGCTTTTCCTGATAAAAGAGGATTGAGTTTTTGTGCTCTTATTAGCATAATTGGAAATGATAATTTTTGCCCAAAGATTATTATGATTTGTCAGAATTCTCTAGGTAAGTTTAGTTAGAGCAATAATATTTTTTGATTTGGCCTTTCTGATGCCAAGACCCCCTTCCTCTTTTTG